GGTACTGATATATGTACTAAAATTAATGTGCTGTAAATGAAAAGATAAATAAATATATGAAAAGATATGGAAGAATTCACAAAACAGTGATTATCCTGGAGGGGAAGGAAAGAGACCAGAAGTGAAAATGATGATTAAAAATAAGTTTAGTTTGATTTATCATGGGTTAATTTTTTTACAAAGATAATGTATTGATATTAGTTACATAATTTTAAAAATTTAGATATACTTATGACATATAAGCTTATCCTTGATGTGGATCTGAATAAAAAATAAGTTGGAATTGGCAATAAAATACAGTTTCTCAGGGAGTTAGGGCCAAGTTAATGTTGACTAAAAATAAATTGTATTTGTTGGCTTTATATAACCTTTCATGATGAGATGATGGCTTAATGACAATAAGCATAATATCCATGAGAACACATTAGATAAAGTTTCACAAAGCTGTGAGCTAATTTTTAAAAAATGATAAGAGTATACGAGGAAAAAAAAGTCATTGAAGGACATTCTAGACAAGGAGTACACTATTTGGAAAGGCCCAATATAGCATGTTTCAGAAATCTCAATAGTGTGATTGGGTCACAGGTTAGATGCAAGGGCATCATGGAAGATAAAAGAGACGTATGTGTAGCAGCAAGATCTTGATAGTACATTTCAGTTTTATTCAATCGAACACAATGATAACCTCTTTTGAAGTAGCCACAGGTCCAGGAACTCATAGATGGAAAGGGGACCTTGAGAAGATCAGTGTCTAGTAAGATATTCAGATGCATAAACAGATCATTTTTATATCTTGTGGGCAGTGAAATGACAGGTGTAGGCCTGGTACAATCTGGAGCACCAGCAAGTCATAATAAAGAATTTTGGTTTTGTCCTCAATGAGTGTTGAGACCAGGAATGGAATAGGATTTTAAGCAAAAGATAGAGGTGCTGATAGACTAAGTCTCCCTGATTATTACTCCCTCATCCCTGCTCTGATAATGGCTTAGATAAAGTACTCTAATCCTTTATCTTTTATCAAATGACTGGAAGGAAAATGTGGAGACAATCTCTCATTACCCTGGCTAGTGATTTTTGCATTGTTGATTTATTTTTTGTAAGTGAGAAAACCTGACTTTAAAAAGTATTAATGTAAGCTCATAAGACTATAGAGAGTTATTTAATGGAATTCTTGTGTAATTTGTACCCCTATACTTAGTAAAAATAAAATTTTATTTATTCAACCATGAATGTCAATTGTGACAAACTACATCTTGATTGATTGATTGACTGATTGATTAATTATAAGAGAAAGTTTATAAAGTCACAGGCAAAAGAAGAGCTCTTGCAACTGTAACAAATTTTAAATGAAGATAATTTAATTTTTTAGGAAACAACAAAAAGAAGCATGATATAATTATTTTATTTTCAGAATTAAACAAAATATAGAATACAACATATTAAAATAACATAATCGCCTTTTCTAGAATCCTTTAATTAACTACTGTAAACTGCAAATTAGAAATGCACTTGACACATCATGAAAAATGTTTCCAAAAGAGCTTCTTCTGAAACTTTTGCTTGCATTGAAATTATGAAAACAAGTAAAAATCTTCTTACCTCAGTCACTAGCAGGCATTTAACAAAAAGAATCTGGCATGATGATGATGACCAAAAGCTAGTTTGTAATGTCATGGAATAAAAATTGTGCTCCAGTGCGTCATTTGATGAAGATTAATGGGAAATACTTAAATTCAGTGGTATGCTGTAAGTATTTGACATCCTGCTCCCAGAGGAAGTAGTAGCATTCACTAAATTTCCATGGTGTAAATACACAAGAACCAATTCAAGATACCCACATGATATTGCCAAGCATGGATTTGGGAAGACGTGAGCAGTAGCGCTCTATTATATGTATCTTTACTATAAAGATATAATAGATGTAAATAATCTCAAGACCATAAACACTAGTAATATGTAGTAAAATTAGTAAAATATGATGAGTTTGGGATATTTAGTATTCTTGATTTTAAACTATGATGTGTTTCACAACTGGTTAACACAATCCCTAAAGTTTTCATATACAGCTCATGCAAATGGTGCAGGCCAACTTTTGTAACCACTGCTGCATTTTTTAAATATTAAATTTGAAAAGATTTCACAAGTCTGGATATTTGAAAGGACTGATAAAATTCCATAGGAAATACTAGTACTTACATAGAGCTTTATTTAAAGGCAAAGACTACAGTACATCAAGAGAGAGTACAGGCAAGCATTGGGAGGCCAAGACGTATACAGGTTCAAGTTTCCCATAGTCCTTAATCAGACACATACACGTTTTGTCTCCAGATTGAACCACCAGAATCTGTTAACTCCAAAAGAAATCAAGGCAGACATTTCCAGCAGGATCTTCCATCAGTAAACAAACTGGCCCAGGGGCTGCCATGAAAGGTTCAGAATTTAAACCTCACATAAATCCTAATGGCCTCATTTTGGCCAAGAGTCAAAGTCCAATAATTTCCAGATGTAAGGATAGAGCTTTCCCAGTCCAGTTGTAAACCCTATACAAATTCTAATAATGAAAATCCTATCTAATAAAGAGGGAATATGTAAATTGACTGTCACCCTGTCACAAAGATGGTGGCACCCATAGCCACAAGATGGTGGCACCCAGTCCCCTCAGCCCCGCCAGAGTCCCCCAGTCCTTTCAGCTCTGCGGGGGGGGGGGGGTAGGTGCGCGGTGCAGCTGGACTCGCCCTCAGCCCCCCAGCCGCCCAGGGCCGGCCTGAGGTGCAGGCAAGCCTCGGATGGCGGCTGCCCAGCCGCCCAGGGCCGCCTGAGGCTCAAATAACCAGGGCCAGCCAAGGCTTGTGCTGCTGGCAGTGGCAGCAGCAGAGGTGTGATGGGGGCATTGCCTTCCCCTGATCGCCGGGTCACCTCCCTCCCTTGAGGGCTCCTGGACTTTGAGAGGGGGCAGGTCAGGCTGACCCACCCACCCCGTACATTGCATGAATTTTCGTGCACCGGGCCTCTAGTAAGAAAGAATAATATCTCAAATATTGATACCCAGAATGACTCCAGGACTAATGTTCTAAGATGTGGAAGACTGATGAAAAATGAAGAATTCTGTTTTGACATTCTAACATAAACTGCCTATTAGACCTCCAAGTAGAAATTTTAACTATATGAAAATAGGTCCCAGGAGAAGTCAGAACTAGAGTTAAAACATTTGGGAGTTGTCAGCAAATAGTTGGTATTGAAAGTATTGGACTGGATAAGATCATCTAGGCTAGGAGTGCAAGTAGAGAAGAAGAAATCTGAAGACTGTGACCTGGGACAATCCAACATTTATAGTTTGGGAAGATGTAGAAGATCCAGCAAAAGAGATTGAGATGAAATAGCTGACAACAGAAAAATCATTTCTGCCCACACATCCTCCTCTCCTATTTCTGTATCAAGGACTTTATACTAGTTTCCTTTGAATTTCTCTTTGCTCAGATGTTTTGTATGTTTTGCCTATTCATCATTTAGTTCCAGCTCAAATGCTCCTCTCTTAGAGAGAGGAGTAATTTAGATAGCCCAACCTTAAGTATTCTTAATCTGCCCCACAATTTTCTATCATATTATTTTTTATTTCCTTCATAATGTTTATCACAATCCAAAATTATTTTATGTATATTTACTATCTTTATCCACTAAATGCAGCATCCTTGAGAGAAGATACTGTGTCTATATTTGACAGTTCCTGGAACACACTAGGTGCTCAATAAATATGTGTGCCCCACCTGAGAAAGGAATCAAGAGAGAAAAAACACTTCTTGTCACACCTGGTTGTGGATTGGTTTGACATTATGTATGTCATTTGGTCATACCTTATAATAAAAATGTAATATTACAAACAATTGAGGGAAGAACTAGTTTTACTTTATTTTAGCTACTTTTTTAAAAATATATTTTTATTGATTTCAGAGAGGAAGGGAAAGGGAGAGAGAGATAGAAACATCAATGATGAGAAAGAATCATTGATCATTGATCGGCTGCCTTCTGCATGCCCCACACTGGGGATCAAGCCCACAATCTAGGCATGTACCGTGACTGGGAATTGAACTGTGACCTCCTGGTTCATAGCTCAATGCTCAATCACAGAGCCATGCCAGCTGGGCTACTTTAGTTACTTTTAAAATCTTGGGCTACTTCTTTTTATATTAGGAAATTATTTCCAGAGATTGGAGCTGCTGAATTGATTCCACACAGTTCCCTGCCCTTGAAAACCTCACATTATTTTTGCTGCAAGTGAAGGCAAACAAATGACAAAAGAAGGACAAGCAGAAAATGTTATTTAAATAATTGCAACTTACAATATTTTTTAAATTCCTAATTAATTTTGGTTCTAAACTCTATGAAGGAAATTTCATGTGAGTGTTGTAACTTATCAGTGAGGCTGAAGATTGACTTTAAATAAATAATTTTTCCTCTTTAGTCTCTAGTTTCTCAATCTATACATTGAGAGACTTGCTCTAGTTGAACCTCTGAGACCCTTCTCCACACAAAGATTGCATGATTTTATGAGGCACACAAATTATCTCACATATAAACAAAAAATGAACGTACATTATGTCTTATATATTCCACTTTAACAAAATGTAATTACAATTTATAGAATGAAAAATAATTTATTTGGTAGATATAGCATTTGTGTTCTCATACTAAAAGTTGTGTTGTTGTTTTTTTAATTCTGAAAAATAAGTTAAGGTCAGTTCTGAATATAATGGTAGGATAGAACAGAACAGGCAATTAAAAATATTCTGGCCATCTATTTTTTCTTAGTGTTTTCTCTATTAGTTAATAGAGGAAATAAATGGATAGTGTTTTAGGTATAATAAAATATTGATAAAGACATCTATGTATTTATATATAAGAAAATGACTGGTATACCAAACAGTCAAAAGAAAAAGATTTTGAAGCAAAAGATAAGAAACCCAGCAGTTGTCTTTATGTTCCATTCCAAAGTTACTTTTCTTTCAGAGTCCAGTCTTGGAGGTAATCCAATCACGATAAGCAGTCACTCGAGTATAGACACCTGGCTTATTCTTTTTAGCACATCCATCACCCCAGCTTACTATTCCAACAAGGTGCCAGATATTTCTAGAGTCAGGGTAAACTAGTGGTCCACCAGAATCATTCTAGAAAAAAAAGGGGGAGAGGGGAGAATATTTCTTATCCTGTACAAGAATTTCCTTTTACCTCTCTTCTGGAGTTATCAATAGTCCCCCAGCATTAAAAACAATCCTCCCTTTTTAGGCTTAGAAACTCTGGAACTCTTGGGCTTTTCAATAGTGTGGTGATGGGGAGGGGGTGGAGTGGAGAAGGGCATACAAGAGATAAATGGTGATGGAAAATATGAAATAAAATAAAAATAAACAAAACCCAGGGAAACTCCAGACCAGAATCTATTGTCTACAGCTGCCAAATGCTGGATTGGACAGACTAGAAATTGACTTTATAATGAGTCCAGCCTTGACTCTGGAGAAAGCGACTCAGTTGCTCTGTGAAGCCTGTGAGGAATGGGTGCTGTGTGCACATGCTAGATCTCCTGCTGCATCTCTGGATAAGGAGGAGGCGGCATTGTAGATCTGCAGATTGCCCAGGAAATTGGGCCAAATCTATTTTATTGCCTTGTAGGTATTATCACCTGTGTGGATTCCTAGACTGAAAACTCCATGAGGGCAGGGATTGTGTTCACCACTGCATCCTCAACATCTAGGCTGGTGGCTGGTATATAAATGGGGGCAATCAATACTTGTTTTATGGATTGAAATAAGAAGGTACATTGTAGAAATCATTAACCCAGAAAAACATTTTGTGATAATAAAAACTGCCACTTAATTAGTACTTTGGGAGAAAATGATTTGATGACGTATCTGGACGTACCTGACAGGCATCAGTTTTTCCTGACATAAATCCAGCACATAGCATGTTATCGGTCACTAAGCCAGATAATGCATGTGGAGCATTGCAAACTTTGTTATCGATAATCTTCACCAAGGCCTCTTGAAGGATATTTGGAAAGGGACCTAAAGGCAACAAATTCTATATATTAAGGGAATCTTAATTTTGCTTGTTGAGATAAAGAATATCTATAAAATAAAGCAGAGTCTTTTGGTGACCAGGAGCCAGGCCAGTCCCAGGCTAGATTGGTCTCTCTCCGATGTTTATGATAGCTGTCTGCCTCACACAATTCCAATTTTCCCAATTCTCATTCCCAGAGATATTTTAGAAATTGAAGATAATGACAAATGCTGGTTCCAGCACTTGGTTTTCTTTTCAGTATATTTACTAATAGGTTAATTTCATGAGAGAATGATTGATTGGATGATCATTTAAATAATTATTCCCACGAAGCTATTATGTTTTTACAGAAAAACTTACCATTCATATAAAGTGTTCCCCATCCTGTAACTACAACACTGTCATTGTCTGCGAGCTTCATTTTGGCTTCAGGAAGACAAATTTTACGGACATACTTTGAGAAAGAGACTTCTTTAGCAAGCTGCACCAGGGCAATGTCATTGTGGACCCCAGGCCCGCTAAAATTTTCATGAGAAATAATGCTTTGGACTTTCTGTGTCAGATATGGTTTATTTAATAAAGTTCCAAAGTTGACGGTCCAATCTTTTGAATTGTTTTTCCTGAAAGACACAATTCAACGAAAATACATTCAACTTCTGTGCCACAACACTGTTCCTAGTGGTCAGTGTAAGGCATGAGATTCCCATATAACACTGTGAATCACTTAAATTTTTATTTTTTTTAAATGTCTTTGATTTGCAGATGTTATAAATGCTGTAGTCACATAAAAATACTGCTAAGGACTATTAGAGCTGTCAGCCTTCTGCAAATCATCCTAATTACAGTCACTGATGTCTCCTCCTTGTACTTCAGCCCATTTACGTTCTGAACATTTCACTTAGGTCAGAATCATCCTAGCAGCCTCAGTGCATGGGGTCCAGAATCACTCACTGCCAAACAGCCTGGATTTCTACAGCCATTGGAGGCTCTGGCATCTGCATACATAAGAAAAATGCCACTGTTCTCACCCAATCATTCTATTATGTTTACCAAGTCAATGCATTTTTGCTTCTAATTTAGATTTTATGACCCATTTCTCAAGTTCTCACTGAAACTCTTCCTCAGTTTAGGGCCTAATATCTTGTTTAACTATTTTCAGTTTCCCTCAAAAGATTAGGTACTTAGTGTATTTTTGTTGCTGTTGTAAGGTTTCAAGACCTTCATGTAACAGTGACACTCTTCAATCCTGCTACTACTCTGAAACCTTCTGGGACTCCATATGCTTCACAGCTATGTTTGAAACTTCATTTCCTTAGACTCAGCCCAGGCTCCACCTCCAGAGATTTATATTTAAAGGTTTAGTGTGATGCTTAAGGATCTACACTTTTGAAAAGTCTCCATGGTCCATAGTCCATGAACTATTGTTTGAAAATCATATCAGAAGGACAAATCCTATGAACATGCTTTGTAAGAAAGTTAAATAAGTAAGCATCTTGTCATTTAGAGATGTCCCCAATCAATACAAATTTTCTAATTGTATATATATACATATATACATTATATATATATCGCCAGTGTCCATGACAACCAGGACGACCGGTCACCATGAGGTGCATTGAGCACCTCTCGGTTGCTCCCCCTGGCCCACAAGCAGTGGCTCTTGTGGTGTGGTGTGGCAGGGCAAGGCCCGGGACTCAGGCAGCCTTGAGCCACAGTGGCTGCAAGGCCCGGGGCTCAGGCCTTGCACTGCAGCCACCAGCAGCGGCAGCAGCGGCAGTAGGGTGATGGGGGCAACGCCTTCCCCTGATCTGCTGGGTTGCCTCCTGTAGAGGGAGGCCAGATTCGTGGGGACCGGGCCTAAGCCATCAGTAGGACATCTCCTGAGGGCTCCCGGACTGTGAGAGGGGTCAGGCCGGACTGAGGGATCGCTCCCAGTGCACGAGTTTTTATGCACCAGGCCTCTAATATTTTCTAATGCTTTATTTCACAAAATCCTCTCTACTTCAAGTTACTCTTTTTGTTTGCTATCCACAGAATATGACTTGTGTTATCCCATCTCCACACATTTGAAGAAGACTGTTTTCTCAGCCAAATACACATATTATTCTTTTCCATACACTCACCCTTATCAATCAATTCTTATATCTATAGGAGCCAGATCAAATTTTATATCTTCACTAGAGGCCTGGTACATGGATTTGTGCACCGGTAGGGTCCCTCAGCCTGGCCTGCGCCCTCTCGCAATTCAGGACCCCTCAGGGTTGGACTGCCAGTTTCGGCCTGATCCTCGCAGGCCAGGTGGGGATCAGGCCAAAACTGGCAGTTCAATATTCCTCAAGGGATGTAGTAGTGCGTGAAGCGGCAGGTGACTGGGGAAGAGCCTGAGCCCGGACCGGGCGCTACACCACTCCTGCTCATCCCGGCCTCACTGCACCTGCTGCCGCTGCAGCTCAGTAAGCTTGCTGAGCGGCACTCCTGCTGTGGGAGCACACTGACCACCAGGGGGCAGCTTCTGTGTTGAGCATCTGCTCCCTGGTGGTAAGTGTGCGTCATAGCGACTGGTCAACCATTTAACTGGTAGACCAGTTGAACAGTCGACCGGTTGCTTAGGGTTATATATATACTAGAGGCCCAGTGCACAGATTCGTGCACCAGTGGGGTCCCTCGGCCTGGCCTGTGCCCTCTCACAATCTGGGACCCCCCTGCTGGCCAGGCCAAGGGACCCCACAACGGGCCTCTAGTATGCATATAAGATCTTTGGTTGCCCTGACCTGTTTGGCTCAGTGGATAGAGCGTCGGCCTGTGGACTGAAGGGTCCCGGGTTCGATTCCGGTCATGGGCATGTACTTTGGTTGCGGGCACATCCCCGGTGGGGGGTGTGCAGGAGGCAGCTGATTGATGTTTCTAACTCTCTATCCTTCTCCCTTCCTCTCTGTAAAAAATCAATAAAATATATTTTTTTTAAAAAAAGATCTTTGGTTAATCTCTTCCCACCCTCCCCCCTCCCTCCTTCCCTCTGAGATTCGTCAGTCTGTTCCATATTTCCATGCCTGTGTGTTGAGCATCTGCTCCCTGGTGGTCAGTGCGTGTCATAGCTACCGGTTGGATGGTGAGACAGTCGCTTAGGCTTTTATATAGATAGATGATAGATAGATAGATGATAGATAGATAGATAGATAGATAGATAGATAGATAGATAGATAGATATCTCAGTTGGATATACTGTCTTTATTCATCAAACTTCCATAGCTCTTACTCATATTGTAGACAAGACATTTACTATGCTCCATGGTCTTATGCCCTGAATATATCACATTTAAAATTTTTTAACTAGATTGTAAAACCCTCCAGAGCAAAAATAAGGGGAAAAGTAACTGGAGTCAGACATACCAGAGTTCACATTCAATTTCTGATATTTAAAAGCTATATGATGTTGGCCAATTTATGTCACTACTTCTGAACCCCAATTTTCTCATCTTTAAATAAGTTTAATTATACCTTTTGTGCAGAATTATTGTTATGATGAAATAAAATAATGTAAGTAAAGTACTTGCTGTCAGGCCAAAGTAGCTCTTTGGGAAATGAGAATTGTTTCCATTCACTTTTTCTTTCTTTATCAAATTTAAATAACCCTGCTTCCCTTTAATTTTGCAGGTACTTATAAATGTATATGGCCTTGATGAATGTTCACACATTTAGTTTAACCCCCACAAACTACCAAAAATATGCCAGCACCCAGAATCCTATGTAGAGTCAGACTTTCTACTTACTGAGTAAAGCAGTGAGCTGCAGATAGTAGCCACCTGCTGCTGATCAGAGATGCTCCGCAGTTGTGTTGGCCCTTCCACTGCATACTTGCCTGCCAAGGCCATGCCCCTGTCTGGGCATCTCCCCCATTCACGATTCGGTTGCCTGCTCTGATATTATTGACCAGTTGTCTCCCACAACCTGAAGAAAGGATTTATTTATACAAAGCAGGTATCTTTGATAATGCTTTGTAAGATATGTATCTTAAAACATGACTTGAAATCCTTTAGCGATTGTCCAGCATCTCCTAAGTAATGCTGTTTCTTTCCTGGAATGGGCTGTTAGCACAGTACCCACTCCATCTTGGTTTGGGTGACTTTTACATATTCTCTTTTCCAGTCTCAAGCATCCTTCAACCACTGACTTTTATTGCATCTATTTGTTATCATTCTCATTTCTCCAAGAAACTTTCCAACTTTTTGAAAGTAGAGACTTTGTTTCATTAATGTCTGCATCTTACATTGCATATCCAGTGCTACTTATAAGGCCCCATATGGACAACAGATACTCCAAAAATATTCATTAAATACATGAATGCAGGGTTAATTCTTGGGGGCAACATGATACTCTAAAGATAATTTATTTAAAAGGCACAGAACTGTTTTTTCATCAATAATGAATATATTTGATACAGCCTAGTTGTTTATTTTCTTATTATCCTAAGTTGTCCTTTTTTCCTTCAATCTTTCTTATTTTAACTTACTCAGAATGATATTCTTAACTCATAATTCAACTCTTTGGAATCAGTTTTTATTTCATCCTCTTGGACAAATGTTTACAAAGTTAAAATTCATATGCCAGTGTTGTTCAAAAAGAAATTCCAGATATATATCTAATATGTCCAATAATTTCAAAAGACTACTATGGATTTCCATGTGATGTACTTCAAGATCCTTTTTAGGGAAAAAAATGGAGAAATGTTTGTGAATGTGTTAAATTTACAATAAAGTTTCTAGACTTACATTTGTTGGTAAGCATTTCGGCATCAGTCTTGCTGATTTCTGAAATTTAAAAGACATAAAATTGATAAAATATCACTGAGCAATTATCTTAGATCTAAGGACATAAAGACTAAGTTTTCCACCCCAATTATGACCAACATTTAAATATTCAGAATGTTTCATGTATTATCAGCCCCTCTCACTCTTACTTGTTATATTTTGACCATCTCTTCACATCTCTACCAGGCATAGGAAAAGGGAAAAGGAAATAAAAAACAAAGCTCTCAATTTTATAACAGTTGTAAAATATTTAGTGCAGTAAAAAGCAGACATTCTTACTAAAAAAGGAACTGGGCATTATCTTTAAAATTCTTTCTTTATGATCATTCTTATTACTCTGAAATACTCAGAATTATCTATATTATAAAGAAAAAGGTCCAATTAAAATTATATTTTACTAGAGGGAGAAACCAAGATGGCGGCATAGGTAAACACCTGAAATTGCTGCCTCGCACAACCACTTCAAAACTACAACTAAAAGACAAAACAGACATAATCTAGAACCACAGGAAGGCTGACTGAATGGAAATTCTACAACTAGAAGGAAAGAGAAAAGCACACTGAGACTCAGGAGGTGCGGAAGTAAAGTGCAAAGGTATGCAGCTGGGTCAGAGAAACCCAGAACTTCCAAAAGAAGGCCCAAGGCCCCACAGCAGCTTGCATTGCTTCACAGCTGGGCCTCATCTGGGCACCTCCAAACCCCAAACAAGGCAGAGGAATCTGCAGATCTCTCTGTGGCTCCTGCTGGGTAGCCTCAGGCAGAGGCTAAATTAGCACCTCCTTAGAGATCCAAGAGCCAGTGTACCCAGTGGTCAGAGTGGGACCATCCAGATTACAACTCCTCAGATCCATACGGGACACACTTAGGGGGCAGACTCAGTGAGCACCAAAGCCCCACTGAAGCAAGTCTTGCCCCATAAGGGTGTCTTCAGCACAGAAGTTCTCCCACTGTAGACACAGCTGATTCTCACAGACAATTGGCCTGGAGGTCAATTCCTCCAGTGATACCAACAACAATCAAGGTTTAACTACAACAATACTGTGCACACAGCCCACAAAGGGGTATACCTAGAGCTCCTAGCTCAGGTAACTGGGGAGGCTGAGCCACTGGGCCCTATAGGACACCTAGCACAGAAAGCCACTCTATCAACACAGGGAAGCATAAAAAATGCAGAGACAAAGAAACAGATCACAAATGACAGAAATGGAGGAAAGCAAACGACTGGATATAGAGTTCAAAACCACGGTTATAAGGTTTTTCAAGAACTTTCTAGAAACCGCCGATAAATTTAGTAAGACCTTCAAAGATATGAAAAAGGACCAACTAGAAATTAAGCGTACACTGACTGAAATAAAGAATATTATACAGACTTCCAACAGCAGACTAGAGGATCGCAAGAATCAAGTCAATGATCTGAAATACGAAGAAGCAAAAAATACCCAACCAGAAAAGCAAAAAGAAAAAAGAATCCAAAAATATCAAGATAGTGTAAGGAGCCTCTGGGACAACTTCAAGCGTACCAACATCCAAATTATAGGAGTGCCAGAAGATGAGAGAGAGCAAGATATTGAAAACCTATTTGAAGAAATAATGACAGAAAACTTCCCCTACCTGGTGAAAGAAATAGACTTCCAAGTCCAGGAAGCGCAGAGAACCCCAAGCAAAAGGAATCCAAAGAGGACCACACCATGACACATCATAATTAAAATGCCAAGGGCAAAAGACAAAGAGAGAATCTTAAAAGCAGCAAGAGAAAAAAAGTCAGTTACCTACAAGGGAGTACCCATACGATTGTCAGCTGATTTCTCAACAGAAACTATGCAGGCCAGAAAGGAGTGGCAAGAAATATTCAAAGTGATGAATAGCAAGAACCTACAACCAAGATTACTTTATCCAGCAAAGCTATCATTCAGAATTGAAGGTCAGACAAAGAGCTTCACTGATAAGAAAAAGCTAAAGGAGTTCATCACCACCAAACCAGTATTATATGAAATGCTGAAAGGTATTCTTTAAGAAGAGGAAGAAGAAGAAAAAGGTAAAGATGAAAATTATGAACAACAAATACATATCTATCAATAAGTGAATCTAAAAATCAAGTGAATAAAAAATCTGATGAACAGAGTAAACTGGCGAATATAATAGAATCAGGGCATAGAAAGGGAGTGGACTGACAATCTTGGGGGGGAAAGGGGTGTGGGAGGTGTGGGAAGAGACTGTACAAAAATCGTACACCTATGGATGAGGACAGTGGGGGGGTAAGGGCAGAGGGTGGGATGGGAACTGGGTGGAGGGGAGCTATGGGGGAAAAAAGAGGAACAACTGTAATAATCTGAGCAATAAAAATTTATTAAAAAATAAAATAAAATAAATAAAAAATAAAAATGAACAAAAGAGAAAAAAATTATATTTTACTAGAGATGAATTCGTGCACCAGACCTCTAGTATGCATATAAGATCTTTTTTTAATCCTGCCCTCCCCCAATCCCCTTCCCTCTGAGATCCATCAGTCTGTTTCATGTTTCCATGCCTGTGGTTTCCACTTCTTCATTGAGCGTCTGCCCCCTGGTGGTCAGTGTGCATCATAGCTACCGGCCAGTCAGCCAGTTGCTTAGGCTTTTATATATATAAACTAGAGGCCTGGATTCGTGCACGGGTAGGGTCCCTCAGCCTGGCCTGCACCCTTTCTCAATCGAGGACCCCTTGGGGATGTAGTAGTGTCGAAGTGGCAGGCGGCTGGGGAGGAGCCCCAGCGGGGCTGGGCACAGCTCTGCTGCTGCTCATCCCAGCCCCACTGTGCCTGCCACCACCGCCACTCGGTAGCACTGCTGCGGAGGCGGGAGAGGCTCCCACCACCACAGTTGCGCTCACCAGCCATGAGCCTAGCTTCTGGCTGAGTGGTGCTCTCGCTGTGGAGCACACTGACCACCAGGGGGCAGCTCTTGGGTTGAGCTTCTGCCCTCTGGTGGTCAGTGTGCATTATAGTGACCGGTTGATCGGTCATCCTGGCCATTCCAGTCGTTCAGTCATAACTATCACTGGATCGGTCTTGTTCTTTGGGATCATCTCATTACTAAGACCAGGGGTCCTCAAACTTTTTAAACAGGGGCCAGTTCACTGTCCCTCAGACCTTTGGAGGGCCGGACTATAGTTTGAAAAAAAACTATGAACAAATTCCTATGCACACAGCGGCGGCAAAAACACCCGGCGGGCCGGATAAATGTTTTCGGCGGGCCACATGTGGCCCGCGGGCCGTAGTTTGAGGACCCCTGACTAAGACTAAATTCTGAAATTTTAAGAATATAACTTTTCAGGTCTCTTTTCCATTGGGAAGAGACTTAAGAGAGAAAGAGAAGAGTAGGGAACTAAAGGAAGGCACACCAGACAGTGCTGACTGGATTCCTGGGGCACAGGAGTAGTAGCTAGTGCAGCTATCTTTCCCAACATCTACCCACAGAGAATTGTATCGCTCCTTTGAGAAGTTCTAGTTTAAACTCACTTCTCATCAGTGGCCCATTGGTGGTAGAATCAGTATTCTGAGTGAAAGGAGCTGTAATAAGCAGCTGTCAGCCTTCATAGCCTTCAAGGACACTCAGATCAACTGTTAGTCTGGAAGAACCACAAAACTGGACTCTGTAACCACATGCTTATCACCTAACAGGCCCTCAAACAATACAAGTGAGAGTTTCAAAACCTTTACAGGACATTGAAGTCTTTACAAACTTCACTTTCTGTATTGGGGCAAATTCCTATCATTTTCTTCCCTTGTTTTCTAGGGAATTAGTGCAGACAAAATTTTTTTTCTTTAATACTATTATTCCCATTCTTCCTCAAGAAGCAACAAAAACTCCCTATTCCATCTTCATTCTTACCATTACAGTCTTTACACTGAATGATTAAAAAAATCTTAAATCTGTTTCCTGTAATGGGATCCTGACAAGAGTACAGGGTAGGGGGGAACAATGCTTCAATTAGGTCCCTTCACTGCCTTTTCAGACATTGACAATAAACCCTTCCAAACTTGCACGCTACCGTTTAACTTCATTTCAATCACTCTTCATGGTACAGATTTATCGTGGGGTAAAAGTAGAAGTGCCAGACTTTGGGAAGCATATTTTTTCTAAACAAATTCCAGAAACTCTTGCCTTTTTTTTTCTCGTATCCTTTTTCTTTAATAGTCCATAAGCCCAGGTAATGGAAAGTAATGGAAATAAATGAAATACCCGTAAGTTTAATGGAAGCTGGAACTGCATTCCAGGTCGCCATGTTGTCTTTCAACAGCTGAAGTAAGACAGCTTTGATTGCAGGCTTCATGATCCCCCTCTTTGCTGGAGGAAACTTGAATGTCAGCTGAAGCTGCACACTTGAACCATTGGGAAAAGGGCTAGAAACAGCAGAAATGTTCTAGTTGTTGCTTCTTGATTTTTTAGATGTTTTGTGAACACATTGAACTTCCCACATTTTAATTACCATATTTTCTTTACATATATTAGAGAACAATACATAGAAATTCTTCTAGTTTGTTTAAAGTGCGAGGGTCCCAAAAAATATTCTAATGGGTTCAGAGGTATGGTGTATGGAGGAAGATGTGAACCACAAACTAGAAATCAGAATACAGGGTGGGACAAAAGTAGGTTTACAGTTGTTCATATGGAAAATAATACGATAATTAATAAATAATTATACGATAATAAGCCCTGTATTTCACCTACTCACAACTGTGAACCTATTTTTGCCCCACGCTGTATTTTAAACACATCAGAGAAACTGAGTACCAGCCAATAAATGATTAACATGAGATTTTATTATAACACAGTAAAGAACCATGTACTCATATAGGTGCTTTCTAAAAACTTAAATTTAGATTAAGAGGTAAGTGAGAGCTTAATGTCAAACTGGGAAGCATTCAAAAGATAGCTTCTAAAATATATTCAAGAGCCAGTACTAAGCTCCTTTTTATAGTTTCTTATACATATCTACCCCATGAGAAATCTGTACCATGAGAAATCTCAGAAAGATAGCTCTAAAGCATGAAGAAAATCTCCATTATTTATACTTTCAGTACATTCTTTAATTAATCAGAAAAGGAAATTAATTCATTTGGAAGACTTTCAAACCAAAAGCCATGTTAATCACAATTTTAAAAAAAACAACACTATATTTTCAAATAATTATGGTCAATGGAAGAGCTTTGAAGGTTTTTGTTTGTCTGTAGGAAAGTTGTTTGGTTGTTTGGCATTTGGTCATCTGGATTTTTTTGTTTGTTTTGTTTTGGAAGTTCAGAAATCTCTGGAATAGATATTGACAATTACCAAAATACAAGTGCTGTCTACATCCCCTATGCTACATGCTACCCTCCTCCCTGCACTACTTCCCCCACCCTCAAATACACTTCAAAGACATATTTAGACAAATGCTCTCTTAAATGATTCACTTTGCTCCACAGTTATTACAGTAATGGTAATACTAAAGAGACCAAAAGGAGATTATTTTAGGAAAGGCATGCCAGATGGATATGCATAAAAGGAAAGGTGGCTCATATATAGATAGCAAAACAATAAAGTTGGAATCCTTGTTTTCCATAGAGTTATAATTATCTTTTATCATAGAAGTCAGTTAGACCTGATTGTCACAAACAACCTTGTAATTCCCCTTTAGGTATAAGATTACAGATTTGTACAGAACAGTTCCTACTGTGAACAGAAATTTATTAAATACAATGATACCTTAATTTATGGACAACTCTTCCTTCCTTCCTTCCTTCCTTCCTTCCTTCCTTCCTTCCTTCCTTCCTTCCTTCCTTCCTTCCTTTTTTCTTTCTCCTTTCTTCTCTCTCTCTTTTTCTCTCTTACGTTGTTATTATATAAAACCAGAGCTAATGTTACATATCACCTACATCCCTTTCCATAATATCCTAAATAAATTGGCACTTACAGAAGTTTGATGACCTGAGAGTTGACATATTCTTTATATATGCTAGAATTTTGAAATCCATCAAGCATCTGTCAGGAGAAAAAATAAAAGAGCCACCATGTCTATTTTAATCAAATTTATAATGAAATTAATAAAATAAATCACCGACTTACCTTAGTCTCAATATCTTTGCTCAGACCTTTGCTAACTTGTGAGGCTGCATTTTCACAGCTATCATTGTATGTGACTCCAGAAATATGAAAATCCCCTTGGTAATGGTAAATCTTTCCTGTGAAATAGAGAAATACTCAAAGAATTTTAAAGTAGAAATTGACCTCAAGTCCCTCCATATCTTTATGTCAAAAATAATATTCAACCTAATTTTAGAAATAATCATAGGGGTGGATAAAAGAAGAGGAGGGAAATTAATATTCATGTATGCTAGAAATAGCAACTACCCAGCATTCATAAAGTGATCCCCCTCCTTTCTTCATAAGATATAGATATCACTGTCCCTCAGAATCCTCCTCAAAGCATTAATATTGGCAGCTAATAGCAATTTACCCGAGTATGCACTAGAGATGCAATGTATTTTTCATGTGTAATCTAAATTCTTAAGCTTAGTGATTACTCAGTTAATCTTTCTAAATACCTGTGATACAAGAAACATCTCCCTTCGCTTTCTGACTTATCTATACTCACTTTCACCCTTTCTTATGCCCCATTGACTATTGGCCTTCTTTCCATGCCTTGAAGTCATTCCTTTAGGACTTCATGCTGCCTTTGCACTTCCCTATAACATCCGATGGCTGGTGCCTAGCATATGTCATGGGTCTCACATTCCCCATTTCTTCCTATCCCCAAATGTAAAGTGCTTCACCTGATATAGTAGGCCACCATAATTTAAAACATGACAAGCCTACAGGTAGCTCTTCCAGGTCATATATGTACTTTCAAAAATAGGAACTAATAGGAAATGGTACCATATTTTGATTAGGGATAAGCCATTCACATATTTCAAGAACAGCTGTGCTTTTGGGCAACCTTAAAAAGCACCACATAGTCTCCAAGCACTGCTAATAGACTTTGAAAAATGTGATCACCTGAGCTGTAATAATTCATTGTCATGGAAGTCAGAAATAGTTCAACCTAAAATTAAAATTAGTTTCCTTTTTTTATAGCTTCCTCTATTTTTTCTTATAGCAACCAGTACATATGAAAAGCAAATGCCAGTTTCTGCCTAAGAAGTTATCTAAGGTCATTCTGAAAAGAGTAAAATATGTAAAGTTGGATAAACTAGTTCAACTTGTTAAATAAAAGGTGACACAAATTGGCTGTCACCCAGCATATCCCTCTGGAATATTTTTCACTAATAACAAAGACTAGATTACAAAAAATAAACTCCAAAGACCCTTTTTTAACTACCATTTCATAATTTTAATCTGTAACATTTTTCACAAAACAGAACAGCAAATAACTAGAATCTTTAACACTGTTGCATTCAGTATGCTGAACTTGAGTATTTGCGGCTGGACAGATTAATCTGTCAATACCAGAACTGAGCCAAGAAGAGTAGGGATCTCTACAGTTTGAGGTATATTTACTGAAAGACATAACAACTCAACTACAGGCCTACTACACAAGTTCCTTTATTTACAGTGAATATTAGCATCAAATATTGAATATTTCAATCTTGCCGTATTCCCATAGTTGATGATATAATGTATACAGTGGATCAAAGAGGCATCTAATTCAAAAGGTTTTTATAAATTTCATGGAAAAGTGTTATGTTGAAATGAAATACTAATAAATAATAAATTTTACCAAAAGAAATTTAATATTTATGTTGTTTCTTGACAATTCCTAAGTAAAAGGAGATTTAGTAATAAGGGTGAAAATTGAAAATAGTTAATACTGACCGACTGCCAGAAAATGAACAAGGAGACCAATAGTTATTCCCACGATTGCCGCCACTCCAAGAAAAGCAAGGATTGTCAAATATAGTGGCCAAGATCTTCTCTGGGATGATATGCCTGACCTATGAAAGGAGAAAAATGGCTCAAATCAGATAATAGACATTCTAAATCTACCTGTCTTTCCTCCAACTCATACAACATGATTTATAATATATGGATTAGGTCTGATTGTATGTTTCTAAACTATAGCCACATCATGAATAAGGATGTATGTAGATTTATAAACAAATACATAATATAACCATTTATAAGTTTTAATTAAATGTGGAAGGAAACATCATGATGTCAACTGCAGTTATCCCTGTTATGAGATCATGGATAGATATTTTTCTTTTTTGTCTACTTTAACTTTATTTTCTAGTATTTCTACAAATATTTAATATTTGGCAGATTAAATATTCCCTATGACTATGAGCATCTTTCTTTTTGTTCTAATGCCTGAAGAACCAACTGAATTTTAGATAGAGGAGATTTTGTGGGGGTTACACTTTTTTAAAACACTACCTTAAGCCACAACTGTGTAACTCCACCTGTCTTATTTCCTCTCTGCTCTGTTCTCTATTCTTAATCCTTCCTCTTCCTTATATTGATGACTTGCTAATTCATGTTTACAAGAATCATAATCTCTTCAGAGAAACTCCCCACTGCAAGTAAGCTTTCATACTGAAATTCTATTGTTTAATCTCATACTCGGAGCAAAATGCTATTCTGGCACAGTCTCTTATACTAAATGAATCACATTTTAAAGAAATATACAATTAAAGTAATTAATAACAATATTTTTAATCCTACTAATATCTGAGAATATGTTATTTTAATGAGTAGAAATTCACTGTGATAGTAAGATCTCGAATTTATTTTGGATTAGCTAGTAGAGTGTTAGTTTAGTCTTTCTGAGAAACATATATCAGTTTGAGGAACTCAAAACATGTAGCCTAAATGGTGATTCTTAAGTTGCTGAGATGGTTTCTATAAAAATAATCACTACATAACATCTTATAAAATGTTTTTCTATGAAAGCTCTATTAGATGCTCTGGAATGCCCTTTTAGATGTTCTAAAGAAAACAGATTGTTGACTATATTACCAATATGGCTCCCCCCATTATGGATTTCTTTCTGTCATAAACAATTAAGAAGAGTCTTTGATATCTGAAAGATCACAGTAGTTTATGATTTATTCAACCCTTCCTTCAGTAAATGTGATGCATGGACTTTAAGAATTGATTATTATTTTGAATAATAACAGAAACCATTAAAATGATGTTCTAAATACCAAAAAATTTCCATTCATGGAACAGTTTACTCCTTTGTCTGCCAAATTAATTTTAGGCATAGATTTTTTTCTTTTTTAATGTAGGGATTTGTATTCCAAGATGAACCCCACATTAAATAAAGAGAATAAGTTAAAAATTAATCTTCAATGAATTTAACCAACTTCATATACTTAACTGGACTACCATTGCCTCAATTTTGGATTGAATCTACTTCAAGTAAAGGCTCATTGCTATTCTGACATAATCAACCATTCACCTTAATCAAATTACAATAATAATATTCATACAAGTAGTAGTAGATACATTATTCAATTTTAAACCATCAATCTCACTATAATTTACCCCATAGTCCATACCAGGTATAGTTTTCTAGATTAGATTTCCTTATAACCATATTCTGATATTGCATTATCAGTTTGACTGCAAAGCATAATGAACTAGTTTTCACTTATTAGACCTTCAGTTACACACCATTTGAATAGATGCACCTAAGTTGTTATATAGTGACGAGAGTTAGCACAAGATTCCAGTGCAAAATTTCCCAAATTTTATAAAGATAAACCTTTTATTTTCATTTATTTATTTATTTATTTATTTATTTATTTATTGTTATAGACGACTTTAAATCACTAAAGAAAGTTTTGAATAAGGAACAGAGAAATTAATGATCAAATGAGTTGAATGGCCTCCTCTTCCAACTTTCTCCTGGAACTCTACAAAAACAGAATACCCTAGAAAGGAATCTCATTTAAATATTTATGAAGTTTTGAGGACCCCCAGAAGTTTGCCAGATACTAATTCATGATGTGTATTGTAAAATACATTATTCCAAAAATCTATAAAGACATTCATAGTTTTAAATTATTTATATAAAAACATTTTTATATTATAAAGTTTATTTCAATTCTGTTACTAGAGAACAAAAATGAAAGTGTTCTTATGGGTAGTTATTAAAAAAAGTGAGCAAAACTTTGCTGCAATCTGATTCTTTTTTCCAACTTTCTGAAACTTTCCTAGAGACTTTACAAGGCCTTTAGACCTCAGAAACAATAGCATGTTTGTTGACAGTGACCAGAAAAAAATCTGAACTATAGAAAGCAACCAATTAGCAAAGAGTTAGAAGATACCTTGTTACTGGTTAGGTTTCACAGACTTAATTTCCCAAATAAATCCTATTTACCTGTACATTATATCCTGATTGTTGCGGTGGTGTCAGGGACAATGGTGGTGACGATGATGGCAATGATGATAATGGTAACAAAAATAAGAATCTTCTTGTGTAGCTCTAAAGGTGATCGACGTGTCACAGGTTTATGTGCTACATCCAGTGTTGGTTGGTTCGTTTTTATGGGCTGGGTGAAATGTAAAGAACAAATAAAATGAAACTTGTCTGATCAGGGTTAAAGACTGTCATATTTCTATAGTTTCAAGATAGGAGTCATCCAGGGAATGACAAACTTCCTTGACTTGGCCATTTAGAAAAAATAATAATAGCCTAGTCTTAGATTAGTCACCTAAAAGTTACACCCAAGGAGTAGCTTTGTGGTAAATTGGCATAATCCTAAATCGGTTTGACCAATTCCATTCTAGTGTTTTCTTCCTCAATTCAAACCAACTACAACTTCATAGAAGTTTCTGACAAATGACTTTGCACAAGGCATGAATTTCAGTATAACTAATATTGCCATTATTCTGATGTAAATGAATTTCTATTTTGTTATGGTTTGCATTTGCTTTTCCCTAATTATCATTGAGAATAATGATCATGTCACATACTGTAATATCATGGGAGGGTGCAGGTGGAGAGGAGGCTGGTTTTCTCTTCTGAGATGCCTGTTCATAAATTTAGCTTATTTTTTTCTATTGGTTGTTGATGTTTTCTTACGGATAAATGTGAATTTTCTATAATATACTCAATATTGTGGTTCTGCGTGTAAGGTGCTTGGAAGTCCCCTCTCTTCCCTAACAAGTACAAAGTTCAATCAACCACATTCCCACAATAAATATTAAAGTAAAATTTCTTTGGGCTCCTCCCTGGGGGAGGAAAAAGGAGCCATTCTGAAATATTACAGAGCACTCTATTCTTTTTAACAAGGCCTGCCCTCAGGAGTAACTAATTATCCAGAACCTAACCTTCTGGGGTATTATCAGAGCCCTTCTGACCTGGAAAAAGGAAATACCCAATTTCAGACCATTCAGCCATCCTCTTCCACCCTCGAGCAGGGTAAAAAACTGAGAAATACTTGTGAAGCCTACAGTCCAGAGGCAGAGGTTCACTAAAAAACTGGACCTAACCATAGGCTATAGAACGCTTCCTGGGAAGTGTTGCTAAGTCCTATTGATAGCAGTTCCTTTGACCTGCTACATCATGTTCAGTTGTAAAGAAAAATTACCAGGCATACCAAAGGCCAAAAACACAATTTGAGGAGAGAGAGCAGTCATCAGAACCATACACACCAGGGATATTGGAATTATCACACCAGGAATTTAAAACAACTATGATTAATATGCTAATGGATAAACTAGACAGCATGCAAGAACATGTAAGAAATATGAACACTTGGGTTGCGGGAAACGAGTTAAGTCGGCTCGCGTGAATTGCGCGTACTCCGCGGGAGCCGTCTTTAACTCGGTTCATATAGATTTGCGGTGGAGTGCGGGAAACGTGTAAACTCGGGCCGATTGTAACTGCGTATTACCAAATACTTCATTTCAATCGAACCCATACTTCAAAAGATATAGGCATTTTAACGCGCCATCTTATATTTTGGCGGGAAATTCACCCGACACCGAAGTGTGAACAAAAGGATGAAAATCTTCCAAAAGAACCATAGAAATGCTGGAGATACAAAACTAACAGCACTGGAGAATGCCTTTGAAGAGACATAAAGATCTTCTGTGTGCCCTAACTGATTTGGCTCAGTGGATAGAGTGTCAGCCTGTGGACTGAAAGGTCCCAGGTTCGATTCTGGTCAAGGGCATGTACCTTGGTTGCAGGCACATCCCCAGTAGGGAGTGTGCAAGAAATCAATGTTTCTCTCTCATCGATGTTTCTAACTCTCTATCCCTCTCCCTTCCTCTCTGTAAAAAATGAATAAAATATATTTTTAAAAAAGATCTTCTGTGTGTAGGTACCTAACAACAGTGACCATCTACCTGACACAAAACTGATAAAACTGCAAGGAAAAATAGATGAATTCGTTATCATAGTTGGAGACTTCAATACCCCTTGTGGGAACCACGTCAGAGTTCCCGGATAGTCAAGGCTAATTAGAGTTTGGAGGCCTCAATGATAGTATTCTGGATGGCCAAGGCCACTCTAAACATGGGAATCTTAATCAGAAATATCCAAGGACTACACAGCTGCAAGGCCACAGCGATCTCACAGTATGCTCTGCCCTTCTATAGCCAAATGATTGATGTCATTGTTGGCAACTAGCCTCCTTTGTCTAAATAGATATAATACATGTAATCAACCACTGTGCTGAGAGAGAAGCTCAGAGGTAGTTTGTATGTGAGGCTACAGAGACCAGCTAGTGTGCTGGGCAGGGGAGAGAGAAGCTGCTGAGCCAGATAACTCAGGTGCCACTACTATGTGAGGTAGTGAGTCTAGGAGGCAGTGTGAGGCTGCTCAGATAATAACTGTGGGTACAGATACTACTGTGTGGGAAGAACATGTATTTACCAGCCAGTGTGTGGCTGCCTATATGGGATTGCTGTGAAGAACTGTCCTAATAGCTATATGACCACTGGCTTCTGCAATAAAGACTCATTCTTATACACCCACAACTTCTCATGGCTTCTCCGTCTAAGACCCAGCCTCCAAGAAGGTCCAGTCCCTAGGCAGAGGGGCTCGGCCCAACAGTTAGTGCAATGGGAAGGGTCTGAGAAGGAACCTGCCCAGATAGTTGATATAGTCTAACAGAAGTCAGGAGAATATATGGACTCAGAGCAGAGCTCTGGCTAGGCTCTGGCTGAGTTTCTGACACTCCTCTGTCAGAAATGGACAGATCCAGCAAGCAGAAAGTCAGTAACAGCTTTAGTTGAACTCAACATCATCAATCAACTGAAAATAATTGACATCTATTGACTACTTCGTTTAACAACAGTAGAATACAGATTTTCTCAATCTCACATGAAATATTCACCAGAATAAACCACATTCTGGGCCATAAAACACATCTCAACAAATTTTAAAGAATGGAAGTCCACTCTCATAATAAAAAGACAACTGGAAATACCAAATTACCTGGGGATTAAACCTATTTCTAAATAATACATGGGAGAAAGAGTAATCTCAAGAGAAATTTAAAATATTTTAACTAAATAAAAACAGAAACACAATTTATCAAAATTTGTTGAATGCTGTGAAAGCAGTGCTCAGAAGGAAATGTAGAGCACTGAATGCATATATTAGAAAAAAAGAAAAATCTCAAATCAGTAATCCAAGTTTCCATGTTAGGAATCTAGAAAAAGAAGAACAAGATAAATCCAAAGTAAGCTAAAGAAAAGAAATAATTAGAAGTAGAGCAGAATTCAATAAAATTAAAAATAGGAAATAATAGAGAAAAGCAATTAAACCAAAAAGATGGTTCTTTGAAAAGAGCAATAAAATCAGTAAACCTCTAGCCAGTCTAAGAAAAAAGAGAGGATACATATTACTAATATTAGAAATGAAAGAAGGAACATCACTACAAGTCCCATGGACATTAATAGAATAATAAATGAATACTATCAACAACTCTATTCCCACAAATTTAATAATCTTGATGAAATGGACCAATTCCTTGAAAGGCATAATCTACCAAAATTTACACAAGAAGAAATTATATATATATATATATATATATATATATATATATATATATATGCATATATATATTTACTAGAGGCTTGGTGTATGAAATTTGTACACAGATAGGGTCCCTAGGCCTGGCAAGCAATCAGGGCCGATCTGTGGGGCGACTGGTGGAGCGACTGAGGGACCCTGCTGGCACCCGCCTTGGCCGGCCTGGGGCCTGCGGGCTGGGGGTAGCTCCTGCATTAAGCATCTGCCCCCTGGTGGTCAGTGCACATCATAGCGACAGGTCATTCTGCTGTTCAGTTGATTTGGTTATTAGGCTATTATTATATAGGATAGAAAAATCTTCTAATAATTAAAAACTAGTAGATTCTACCAAACATTTAAGGGGGAGATGAATGCCGAAACCGATTTGGCTCAGTGGATAGAGTGTTGGCCTGCGGACTGAAGGGTCCCAGGTTCGATTCCGGTCAAGGGCATGTACCTGGGTTGCGGGCACATCCCCAGTAGGAGATGTGCAGGAGGCAGCTGATCGATGTTTCTCTCTCATCGATGTTTCTAGCTCTCTATCTCTTTCCCTTCCTCTCTGTAACAAAAAAAAAAAGGGGGGGGGGGAGATGATACCAATTCTCTACAATCTCCTTCATAGGGTAGAAGCAGAGAAAATACTTCTAATTCATTCAATGAGGCTAACATTTGAAAATTATAGGCCAATATCTCTCATGAACATAGAAGCAAAAATTCTCAAAAAAAATATTAGCAAACTGATTTAAAAAGGTATATAGACCACAACCAACTGGGATTTATCCCAGATATGCAAGACTCGTTCAACATTCAAATCAGTTCATGCAGTTCATCATATTAACAGACTAAGAAAGAAAAATTGCATCATTAGTTCACCATCACTTCACTATATACACTGGATATTAACCAATTTTGTTCACCTATTTAATAATTATTTATTCCCAGTGTGCAACTTGATGTTTTGTTATTTAATGAAGCCTTTTCATGCATAGAGCATTTTAAAAGTAAACCAATTCTTGAAAGACACAACATTGAATACTACCAAACATTTTAGAGAGAAATTATAAAAATTCTCTACAATTTCTTTCAAAGGATGGAAGCAGAGGGAATACTTCCTAACTAATTCTATGAGACCAGGATTACTCTAATACCAACACTAAACAAAGGTATTAAAAGAAAACTACAGACCACTATTTCTCATAAACTTTGATGAACAAATCCTCAACAAAATATTTTTTAAAATAAAAATACTTAATAGTCTAACATATTACACTAAGAACCATAAAATATTAACAAATATTTCCCACCTTTATTTCTTCAAAATATTATCCTATCTTTATCTAAAATTAAATTTTATTTTTTTATATTTAGGTTTTGCTGCTATTATTCAGGTCTGGTTATAAACCATTTCTTTTTGTGTCAAGATAAGTTAAAGAGCCCTAGCCTGTTTGGCTCAGTGGATAGAGAGTCAGCCTGTGGAACCAATCAATGTGTTTCTCTCACATTGATGTTTCTCTCTGTCTTTCCCTCTCTCTTCTACTCTCTCTGAAAAAGATCAGTGATTAACAAAATAAATAAATAAGTAAAAAAAAGAAAATGTATTTTTTTAAAAGATAAGTTGAAAGTACAGATTATTTGTTAACACAAATAGAGTACCTACCTATCAAATAATCAAACTGAGATGAATTTAACATGACTCTCCTCTGTCATAAGCTGCACATCCTATATAATAAAAGCATAATATGCTAAGTGTCCAATTGTCCGGTCAGCCATTCAACCAATCAAAGCGTAATATGTTAATGACTAGAGGCCCAATGCATGAAATTTGTGCAAGGGGCCCGGCCCTCACAGCCCCAGCTGCCTCAGCCCTTGTAGCCCCAACTTCATCCGGAAGGTCACCTGGAAGGTTGTCCAGATGGTCGTTCCGCTATTCAGCTATTCAGTCGATTTACATATTACCCTTTTATTATTATCGGTATATTATTATAGATATACTAAGGCCACTCAACCACTTGCTATGATGTGCACTGACCACCGGGGGCAGATGCTTCAACTGGTAGGTTAGCTTACTGCTGGGATCTGGCCAATCAGGACTGAACAAGACGGGCCAGACACACCCTGGAGCCCTCCGGTGGTCCCTCCTTGGTTGGCCAACCTCCCGCATCCCTCCTGGCCCTGATCATGCACCGGTGGAGCCCCTTGTCCTGGCCTGCACACTCTTGCAATCCAGGCTGAGTGACCCCCACCTGAGTGCACGAATTTTGTGTACCGGGCCTCTAGTTTCATATATTGTTTCATCTCAACTTTAAAAGTAAAAAAAAAAAAAAATTATTTTAAGCTGCCATTAGGAATCTGAATTCCTAGGCTTATATTAATACCAAAATCCTATCTCTTTTGAGATAATTTTAGTGGAAAAAGTAGAACCCGCATACACAGTTAGATAAGAAATACTATTTCATACAATCCATATCTTAGTTTTCATCAATTTTTGTTTCTTTTTTTTTTTCTTCAAAAATCTGTATAAATTCAGAATTTCTTTTGTTTTTGAAAGAAAGTCTCTATCTCACTTTTGCAAAAGAAATTTAAATAAAATTGAATTGATTTTATCATTTCTAATTTTCTAAACACTCCTTGACTTTTACCATACTCCTTCTTACCTGTTAAAGTAGACCATTTTGGGAGAAAGTAGTTGTATATTTTTCTCCTGTCCTGACATTTTTATAAATCATTAATTTTTAATTATATTTTTCTTTTTTTATAATTCTATATATTATTTTATTATTTTACATAAATTTTAATTTGAGAACTTAATTTAATAATATTTTACCTTCCTTTTAGCATTACTTCCTTTTTACATTACTTTTAATATATTTTTATTGATTTTTTACAGAGAGGAAGGGAGAGGGATAGAGAGTTAGAAACATCGATGCGAGAGCAACATCGATCAGCTGCCTCCTGCACACTCCCTACTGGGGATGTGCCCACAACCAAGGTACATGCCCTTGACCGGAATCGAACCTGGGACTCTTGAGTCCACAGGCTGACGCCCTACCCACTGAGCCAAACCGGTTAGCGCCTTTTTGCATTACTTTTAAAAGATTATCTCAGGAACTAAAAATATACATTGTTATCACATTCTACTTATATAACACTTCAAGATTTTACCCTTCACTTTTCAGCCATGTTGCAGCCTACATCTTTGTGTTCTGATGCCTAAAGCCAGTAAGAATTTGGCTTTCTGCTGGACTCTTTTTTTTAACTTTTTAATTACAGATTTACATCAACATTACTTTGTATTAGTTTCAGGTATACAGCATTGTGGTTAGAAAATCAGTATTTTACAAAGTGGTCCTCCTTATATTTCAAGTACCTGACACCATGCATAGTTATTACAATATTATTGACTATATGCCCTATGCTGCACTTCACATCCCTGGAGCTACTTTGTAATTACCAATTAGTATGTCTTAATCCCTTCACATTTTTCACCAAGCCCCCCAAACCCCCTACCCTCTGGCATCACTCTGTTTTCTATAAGTCTGTTTCTATTTTGTTTGTTTATTTTGTTTTTTAACTTCTACATATAAGTAAAATCATACGGTATTTGTCTGCTAGATTTTTAGTTGCCCTTTGCCACCTGGACTAGGCAATGCTCTCTGGCAAGAAGCCATATGTTTGTAAACCTCACCCATTATACTTCCTTCCTTTGACTCTCCTTTGATTGACTCTTCAGGTTTTGCCAGTTTGGGGTCACACTTGACCGTCTTCATATAGTCAGTTTTTACATTTTTCCAAAGTTTAGCATTATAACTTCCAAAGTTTATAACTTTAAGAGCGCTCAATATAAGATACTTTATCATTATTGAAACAGAACTCTTTAATGTTGACTTTTATTTATTTACTTTTTAATATATTTTTTATTGATTTCAGAGTGGAAGGGAGAGGGAGAGAGAGACAGAAACATCAATGATGAGAGAGAATCATGGATAGGCTGCCTCCTGCACACACCCCACTGGGGATCGAGTTTGCAACCTGGGCATGTGCCCTTGACCAGAATCAAACCTGGGACCATTCAGTCTGTAGGCCAACACTCTATCCACTGAGCCAAACCAGCTAGAGCTACTGTTGACTTTTAAAGAACACCTTTTGGGGGGGAGGGGCGCGAGGGCAGGTGTGGGGAGAGTATGGACATTGATTCTTTTTTTAAGAACATAAATTCTTAATTTTAGTTTAAAAGTTATCATTTCCTTTTAAGTTTAGTATTTTACATATACATGTGTGCAGGGTGTTTAGACTTCTTTGCCTTTCATAAAGATATTCTCCCACATTTTCTTTTAAAAACTTTGTGTTACAATTTGCACTTAGACCAACAGTTTATATGGAATTTAATTTTGTGTGCATTATAAAGTAGAAATAAAGATACACTTATTTTTTCCATATAACTCTTTGTGGAATCTGTGCATCTTATTGAAAATGTACAAACACAATCCTTTATTCACTGCACTGCAATGCCACTTCTGTTATAAATCAAGTAGGTATCAAATGTGGGTCTGTTTTGGAAGTTTTCATTGATTCTTTGATTTGTTTCTAATATCAGCAATAGCCACTATGGACTGGTGTGGTTTTCCATGTTACCCCAAGATCAGCCTTTCTTCCATCTGAACAAAGCCTAAAATTTCAGTATTTATGTCATCTTTCTCCTCTTGGCTCCATGACCACAAAAAACAACAACATATATATGTGTTATTTTTATGTACTTGTTGAATCATCATGCTTTAAATGAGTGAGTTACAGAAAGTACACTGTTCACAGGACACTCCCAAGACTGCATATTCCAGTTTCAGTTCAACCAAGAAGCCTTAATGTCAACTTGGAAAAGAATTAACCAAATGCTCTGTAGCAACTGGAATTATCCACCCCATGACAACACTTCCTCTTTCTGGGTTTATATTTTTCCCAGGGCAAGCTTCAGAGCAGAAAATATGTTTTTAATACATTTATCTGACAAAAGACTTATATCCAGAGTAGAAAATACTGCTATAAAGCTAAAAAAGGGGAGACATCTAAAAACAAACAAACAAACAAAAAACCTCACAAACTTTACTAGGCACTTCAGAAAAAAAAATAAGTATATGCAGATGTCCCTAATATTATGAAGTGATGTTCAACCTCATTGGTCATCAGGGAATTAGAACCACTGCATATTGACCATATTGACCAAATAGCTGCAATGAAATAATAACACCAAAGGTTGGTGAGGAAGAGGAGCTACTAAGTCTCTACTATTGAGAGTGTAAATTGCTCCTGCCATTTTGGGAAATTACTTGGCAGTTCCTAGTAAAGCAGAATACCCACCTGCCTTATGACCCAGCAACTACGCTACAGTAATAGAGGCTACTGTTCTAAACCCACCAGAAATGGCATGCATTTTGTGCACCAACAGCCATGTACAAAAGCATTCCCAGCCACACTACTTCTGACAGCCCCAAACTGTAAATAACTCAAAAGCCCTTCAGCAGTAGAGTGGCTGCATACTTTATATATCTTATTTTGTTATATTAGTGTGGTATTTTCATACAATAAAATATTCTACAATACTTTAAATAAAAGAACTTCAGATACATGCAGAAAATTAGATGCATCTCAAAAATGAAAGAATTAGACACAAAATAATATGTGCCATATGCTTTTATTTCTGTATTAATCAATCACTCTTAGGTCTAAAGTATAGAGTTGGAAGTCCAAGATGGTGTTTGCTTTTGTAGGGAAAAAGGCTCATTGGGGGAAAAATTTTGGGAAGGGGGTGACTTCTGGGATGCTGTGTATTTCTTGAATAGGTGGTAAAAATGTGAGTGTTTCTTTGTGACAATTCACTAATGTACATTTGCCTTCTGTGTTCTTTTCTGTATATCTTATAATTTGTAGCACATTTTCTGAAAAATTGAATATGGACAAGAATTATTTATGTAAGAAAGCAAAATAAAGAGCCTGTGCACAATCTGTACTGAAACCTATACTGCAGAACACTTTGCACGGTGCTGTAAGGGTAGATAAAAAGACACAGAAAAAAGTTCATCTACCATGTGCCAGATACACTGGAAATACACCAAATAAGAAGCAAAATTTCCTGCCTCATGGAGTTTACATCTTAATGTAGAAGACAAACAAATATATGTTTGTTTTTTTGTTTTTGTGTGTGTGGTGTCAGGCAGAAATGATTGCTATAAGAAAGTGTAAAGTAGGGTCAGAAGAATATGACTAATAGAGGCTACTTGGTGAGATAAGGTAGTCAAAGTAAGCCTTTCTGAGAGATTGACGTTTATACAGAGACTTGAATGAAATTAGGCAAGGGGGAAAATCACATGGCTATCTAAGGAAATAGCTTTTCAAGCAGAAAAGGCAGAAAAAGCAAAAATGTGGGGCCAAGAGAATTCTTGAGATGCTTGAGGAACTGCCAAGTGGCCGAAGTAGTGGAGAGTTAGAAAAAATACTAGAAAGATAAGAAGTTTTTAAAGGTAATGGCCAAAGAGAGAAACAGTTTTTCTTGGACCTAATGAATGTAATGAGAACTTTGAATTTTATTCTAAACTTGGTGGAAAGTCATTGTATGTTTTTAAAGCAGAAAATTATGTGGTCCAACTTATGTTCCTAGTGACTGTATGAAGCAAGAAACTAGGTGTCAGGGCTGAGTAGGAGCAGGAGTAAGGGAGTTAATAGGCTGCTGTAGTTTGTCAAGGTGAGAAAAATGGCTACTTGGACTGCAGAGATAATAAAAAATTGTGGAAGTCTGGTATATTTTAAAGGTAGTGCTGGCAGAATCTGCTGATGAATTGAATGTGGTAGAAATTTTGGAGCCTGAGCAATTGGGTTCACAGTAACACCATTAACTGAAATGGTAACACTCAGAAAAACAGAGTGAAAATTGAATATCCTGACCCCGTTTTTGGACATGCTCCATTAGAGAGAGCCTTTAGAAATCTATGGAGAGCTATTGAACAGGTGCTTGCTTATATGAGACTGGAGTTCACTGAAAAGGTGTAGTTGGAAATATAAATTTTGGAGGTGGAGAAAATTGGAGACTAATTCCTGTGATGAAATGTCCAGACACATTGATTATTCCTATTGATATCTACAGAGAGTAAGCTGTAGACTAACTGAGGTGCCTCAACAACTGTGAATAGGAGGCTGAATTGTAGATAGAAAATGCTGAAGAGAAAAGAAAAAACTTTAGGGAACTACTTTGCAATTAGAAATGCTTTTTTGTTTCTTTTCCCAGAATGAGCTCTACTCCGCAGTAAGAAAAATAGTTGAAAATTATTACTTGCCTACTGAAGCTAATGTCTCTGAAATTATGATGATTCAGAGAATGAAAGAAATGGCAAATTACATTCTTTTCAAAAGGGAAAAAAAGATTAAATTATAAACAATTGGCATGTGAACTTGAGTTTAGGCAAAATTCTAGAGATTATTAATAAACTAGAAAAGTTTTAGATGTGGGATGTGAGAAAAAAGGAGTCAAGAGAATAGATAGCAAGGTTTGGGGCCAGAACAACAGAAAGAATGGCATTGGCTGAAACAGGGAATACAGTGGGTATAACACATGAAGCATGGTGGTCCCTCCTTTGGAAAACTGCTGTTTAAAACTGCTGTTTGAACTACTCTGTTATTTTTAGA